GCGCACGGTGCCGGCGGCGTCGCCGAGGCGCCGGGTGCGGTGGGAAGAGGCAGGAGGGTTCCCCGCGAGATCTGAGCGCGGCGGCTCCTGCGGCTGGGAGGGCGGAGGCCGTGGGGCGCGCGTGGCCCGGGTGGCTGCGGACAGCAACGGTGAGACTGCGGCTCAAGCTGAAAATGGAAAGGGGCTGGGAATGCAGGTCAGTGCCGAGGTCCTGGGTTCAGTCCCCGTACCGCCCGCGCGCGCACACACGTGTACACACAGGAAACCCACAGGCAGATGCGCCTGGGTTATGCAGAGCGCGCACGTTAACACCGAGCCAAGACTGCTGTAGGGTCACCTGGGACTCAGACTTTAGTAGATCCCAAAAGGAGTAAGTTTCCCTAGCAGAATTTTAAGCAGTAGGGTGGACGGGTCACGCTTGAATTTTGGGAAGAGGGGTCTGGCTAGAGCCTGTGAGCGCGGGGTTGGAATTGACCAGACCGGGTAGGGGGTTGTGCAGGGGTGTCAAGAAAGAGTCCTGGGTTTTGTGGCGGAGTCCTGGAGAGACCATTCACAGAGACTGAAAACACTGGAGGGAATAGTTTGGTAAATGGAAACTCAAAAGATAGAGCTTTTTTTAAAAATGCGTGTATACCTGGTAGCGGAATTGCTGGGTTACGTGGCCATTCTTTGTTTAACGTTGTGAGGAATTGTTGCTTCCCAAAGCGTTGGCCCCCTTTATATTCCCGCCTGCAGTCCATGAGGGTTCCAATTTCTTCATATCGTTGCCAACACTTATTTTTCGTATTGCTGCCATCCTCCTGGGTGCGGAGTGGTATCTCATTTTGATTTGGAATTGCATTTCTCTAGCGCATAAGGACACTGAGCATCTTTCCATGTGTTTGTGTTTCTTTGGAGAAATGTCTACTCAAATCTTTTGCTCATTTTTAAAATAAAAGATTTTAGGCCGGGCATGGTGATGCATGCCCGTAAACCTAGCACTTGGCAGGCTGAGGCAGGAGAATTGCTGTGAGTTGGTGGCCAGACTAGGCTACATCCTGAGTTCAAGGCCAGCCTGGACTACAGAGCTAGGCCCTGTCCCCAAAAAACCAAAATAAAATAAAGGGTTTTAGTTGTAATTGAGTAATAAGAGTTTTTTTGTATTTTGGATCTAGACTTTTTCCAGATATATTATTTGCAAGTATAGTTGTTATATAAGATTTTGAAAGCAGAATTGAATGCAAAATCATGAACGAGAATAGTTTTAGACAGTAGATGTGCAAAATGTGAAATAGTGCTGCTTTTCTCACAAATTTTTAAAAAGTATGTTTTTAAAGTGTTACATTAAATGAGTTTACTATTTATGAATATATAATTTTAATATGGCAAGTATTAATAAATATTCACATAAATAAATACTGTTCTCTTGAGTTCTCATGTGCTTTTGACAAATAGGATGAGTTTTGAGTCTAAAAGTAAGAACCGGGTGTGGTACCATACACATGGATTCCCAGCACTCAGGAGACTGAGGCAGGAGGAGCGCTGTGCGCTTAAGGCCAGCTTGAACTGCATAATGAGACCATGTCTCAAAGAACCTAAAAAATAAAAAACTCACTGATCTAATCTGACTTACTTTGATAAACTAGCAACCTTTTAATCATAATCTGTATTTAAAGTAGTTATTCATAGAGTAGGGTTTGTGTTGGCTTAAATGAAATTCCTCAAGCCAGAAGTTATTCAAGTCTTTACATCTAGTTTAGTAGTCCACAAATCTTTGAAATATGTGTGCTCATTTTCATGAGGAAGTGAGTCTGTGACTTTTATTAAATCTTCAAAGTATAAAATGCCAAGGGTTAAGAACCACTGCTCAGGTTCATGGTATTAAAATTTTTTAAAGGCTGTTAGCTTTTTCTGTTAGGCCAAATTTTTCAGTTATTACATAAAAATATTTCTGAAACATTAAATTGGGGAGGGTGAACACTTTCCAGGTCAACTAGTTCCCAAAGTTTGTATCTGTGTTCTTGCCATTTGTGTGTCTTGCTGGCACTCAGGTTATGTATAAATATGTGCTTGTCTCCATCCTCTCAACCCCAAGCAAAATCACGAAAAAACTATTCCTCCTCTTAGGTTCTTAGTTAAGTGAGTGCAGCACCAGTGATGATGATTGCATTTTAAATATAACACATCCAATTGTCCAATATCCTTACTCACCTTATCTCTTTTGCTTTTGAGTGAAGCTTCACAGTACTGCCTGAAGTACTGCTCACGTAATGCCTGAGCTCCACCTCCTGTCAGATCAGTAGTGACATTAGATTCTCATAGGAGTGCAAACCCTACCATGAACTGCCCATGTGAGGGATCTAGGTTTTGTGCTCCTTTCAATCATGGACACCCCACCACCACATCCCCCCACTTCCCATCCATGGAAAAATTATCTTTCATGAAACCAGCTCTTGGTACCAGAAAATGTTGGGGACCACTGCTTTACTGTACTAGCTTGGACCTTTAGTACAATGTATAAATAGTAAGAAATAACTGGTTTTTGACAAGATAGTTCAGTGTTTCATCATCAAGTAGGATGTTAGCTATGGGGCTTTTCATTTTTGTGTTGTTGTAAATAGCCATTAAATTGAGCAACTTCCCTACTGTTTTCTGGTTTGTCAAGAAATTTTTGTCAGGAGTAGATTTTGTGTTTTTAAAATACCGGTTTTTTGCTGCATTTAAAATGATCGTGTGATTTTTTTTTTCTCCTTTATTCTCTTATGTAATGGAATAGCATTGATTGATTTACACAAGTTTTTAAAGTACCGGTTTTTTGCTGCATTTAAAATGATCGTGTGATTTTTTTTTTCTCCTTTATTCTCTTATGTAATGGAATAGCATTGATTGATTTACACAAGTTCAGCCACACTTGCATTCCTGGGATAAGTGACAGTTGATTAGAACGTGTTATGCTTTTTTTTTTTTTTTTTGCTTTGCAAAAAATTAGTTTAACACATGTATTAATAGCACTAAATACCTACATATGACTGTACAAGAAGTATTGGTTTTTTTTACCCTCCTAGAATGTCATTTTCAGGTTTTCATGTTAAAATTATGATGACCTTGTAAAAAACATGTCAGGAAAGTTTGTCTTTGAATTCTGGCTTTATTTCTACTTTAGCTGACTGATGAAATTCATCAGTGAAACCATCTGTGCCTGGCATTTTGGTTTTTTTTGAGGAGAAGTTTTTAATTATAGATTTTAAGAGATATGAGAGTGTCAGATTATCACTTGGATTTGGGGAGGTTGTGGTTTTCAAGTAAATATGCCCATCTGAATTGTAATATTAGATAAATTGTTTATTATATTCCTATTTTTTAATGTCTATCGGTAGGTTCTGTAGTAATACTCTTTATTATTTAGGATGTTGATAACTTGTATTTTCTCTTTTTCTTAGATCAGTCTTGAGAAGTGTTTATAAATTTATTTATATATTTTGTTTTGTTTTGTTTTGTGAAGGGTTTGGTTTGGTTGAGTTTGGTTTTACACAGAGGCTCCTTAGTTGGCCCATGCTGAGCTCAAACTCCTGATTCTCTAGCTAGACTCTGAAGTAACTGGGATTACAGATGTACACTAGTATGTCTGGCCTATAAGTTGTATCCAATTTTTTATTTAAGTTTATTGGTACAGTTTAGGTATACGTGATGACCACATTCATTATAGGAAGTTTGTGTCTGTAGTGATGTATCTTGATTCCTCTTTTTTTTCCCATTCCCATCCCCTCCTTTAAAACCCCCTTCCCCTCCCAGTTCACAGAGCTCAGTTTTCATTTATCCTTTTCTCATCCCCCCATTTCCTTTTTCCTTTGTAACAGTTTCTTCCTAGTTCACAATATCTGTTATACATTTAGGTTCTTATTTATACTTCTGGTTTCTCACACTGGAGAGTTAATGTGATATTTATACATGTGTGTCCAATTTATTTCACTTATGATTACCGTCTCAAGGTCCATCCATTTAGCTATAAATGTCTCAATTTTCTCTTTTTTATGGCTGAATAATACTCCATTATATATTTAAAAAACCACATCTTTTTTATCCATTCATTGGTTGGTGGGCATTTGAGTTGCTTCCAAAATTAGCTATTACGAACTGCCATTATAAACATGGGTGCATATATATTGCTGTGATAATTATGTTTTTAATTCTTCTGGGAAGATGCCCAGAAGGGGAATAGCTGGGTCCACTGGAACTTCTAATCTTAGTTTTTTGAGGGATCTCCACACTGATTTCCACAGTGATTGCACCAGCCTACACTCAATAAGAAATTTTGGTTTTTGTTTTTAAGTATTGATCTATTTTTGTCCCATTTACTTCTCTTTATTATTTCTGCCCTACTTCCTTCAGGTTTAATTTATTCTACGTTTTACAGTTTTTTAAAGACAGAACCTTAATCATTGGTTTTAATATAAGCTTTATAATATTCTATATTATATAATATATAATGCAAACTTTATAGTATAAGCATGTAAAGCTATATATTTCATAGCTGCATACCACAAATTTAGATATGTGCTTTTTTTCTTTTCTTTGAGGGAGGATGGTACTGGGAATTGAACCTAGAACCTTAATACTGAGCTACATCCTAGTCTTTACCTTTTTTTTTTTTTTCCTCCGGTACCAGGAACCGAACTCACGACCTTGCACTTGCCAGGCAGGCACTTTGCCGCTGAGCTAAATCCCCAGCCCCGTCTTTACCTTTTGAGACAGGCTTTTACAGAGTTTCCCAGGCTGGGCTCACACTTGCAATCCTCCTGCCTCAGCTTCCCAGAGAATTCATATTACAAGTGTGTATACTACCATGCCCAACAATATGTGGTATTTTCATAACCATTGAGTTTCAAATTTTTCTTAATTTCTATTGTGATATATTTTCACCCATGTATTATTTACAAGTATGTTAATTTCCAAATATTAAGAAAGTTATTATTTATAAATTATTTTTAATTCTATGGTAGTCCTAGAACAACATACTCTCAGCATATTTAGGCTTCTGGCCATGATGGAGTAACAGGTGACACTGTGTAACAGGTTACCACAGTGCCATTAAACAACTTAAAAACTAGGTCCTGTGTGTGAAATAACTGTGTTACAACACTGGGCAGTGAGTAGTATAGAACTGTGACATCTGAGAAGAAGGAAGCATGCAGCCTGAGCACTGTGAGAGCCAGGCTTCTTACTTGGAATCACATTACGGACCATGGAGTAAGGGTGCCAAGCAAAGCAGAGATCTGTTTGAGTTGAAATGGAAATTAAAGTTCAGAAACACTGGCAGTTATGCAGAGAAAAGTCCAGAAATCTGTCCAGGATCCTCTTGAAATTTGTCAGATACTGATGTGTGTGTGTATATTTAAAGCTCCTGAGGCTAGTCCGTACTGTAACCTTAATGCACATTTCCTGTGCTCAGAGTGCCCAGCTCAGAAATAGGCAACAGGCAAGGACTTGTGAAAATGTGATGGTCAACATGGGGAGCAGAAAAAAAGTTGGGAGTTCTACTGTGTGTGTCACAATATCTGTGTTTTAAAATATTTCTCAGTGTTGTACAACTGTAGAAATATCTTTTTCTTAAACTCCCTTTTTTCATCTATAAGTGATAAATAAACTCAATAACATTTTAAAGGCCTGTCCTTAAATTAAATTCACTTACATCATATAGTAACTACATTTAAATTTTAAAATTAAGGATAACGCTAGAATAAGTAATTTAGGTCCACTATCCATTGAAGACAAAATTTAGCAAATATTTTTAAAATATTTATCTAGTATTTAGGGTAAAAGTGTGTAAGAAATAATGAGATAAAGAAGAATTACCAGGCCACAGTTTGGGAAAGGATGGAAACTTGAAGAAGTAAGCCTAGCAGTAGAACAACTTTTACCCCCAAAAGATCTTCTAATTTATAAGAAATTACAGAGAGCGTATGCTTTGGAAAGTATACACTAAATGGGCAAAAGTCCTTTGTGTATCAAAGATGGGAACAAGGTGAACCATCTCTTCCAGTGTGCTTAAGATCCTAAAGGCTGTGTCCTGGAATTTAAGTAAACCAGCCCTTTCACAGAGGATAGTTATCTGAACAGGCTAGAAAAATCTCAAATTCTGGTTGGTGTAAAGGGATTCTAGATTACTAATTCCCTATGGCACTTAACAGTAGCAAACAAAAATTCTCTCTTGGGGAGGATAACATCATCCTTGAGTTTAGGTTATTTATGTAGACAATTTATCAAATATGTAGCATATAATCAAAGGAAAACCAGGAATTTAAAATTATATCATGAGCAAAAAAGCAATCGACAATACAAGCAGCATCCCTAATCCAAATCTCAGATGCTCAAAAACTTAAAACTTTTTGAACAGGACATTGCAAAATTTTGGAACGGGATGCACAGCTGATGAAGTCTGTACAAATGTTCCAAAATCTGAAAGCCTCTGAAGTAACATGTATTGGTAGTTTGTTCCTTTTATTGCTAGAAGATACTTTAGATTGTATGGGTGTACCATATCTTTGATTTTTAGTGAGTATGCAAGTTATTTTGGAAATATAGGAATCACATTACTGTTTCTTTACTGGCTTATAAATTATTTCTTGAAAGTCTTAAGACTGTCTTGCTTGTTTTTATGTAGCTATCAATTCATGATTTTAAAAGCTATTCAAATGTTCCACCAGCTTTACCATTAGCCCTCTCATACTAGAATTCTTGACTGTAACTGCTACTGTGTTAAAATCCTTTCCAATTTCTAATAGTTTTTTAAATACACTGCCAAGTATAATAATAGCTCAATATTTATACCTTTTCTAGAATATTCATCCTTGAATGATGCAGGCCACTACACTGATGGAGACAGCTTCTGGTAAAGGCTGTCACAGTAATAGAGGAAACCTTCAAAGAGGTGAGAGTCCAGGCCTGTTGTCTTATTTAGGTGGGGAGGAATATTGTAATTGAGGAATAAATGTAATTGTGCTAGACAGTTTAAAATATTTTGCAAGACTGTGAACTTAAAACATTTTTTTTGTTTTGTTTTGGTTTTGGTTTTTTCTCTGGTACCGGGAACCGAACTCACGACCTTGCGCTTGCCAGGCAGGCGCTTTTGCCGCTGAGCTAAATCCCCAGCCCCAACATTTTTAATCTAGAGAGAATGTAAAAGAAATACTGAAAACAAAATAAGAAAACCTACCAGATATAAAAATATCTTATGTTGCTATAATAATTAAAGCAATATAATACTGTTGTACAAAAAGATGAAAGATTAATAAAACAGAATAAATAGAAATAGACCCTTAGAAAATTACAAAACAGAAGCAAAAAGATTTCAGAATACAATGAAGATTCTGTTTAACTCTTCGTTAGCTTTCCACCACTGTGACAAAATCTCTGAGTTAAACAGCTTCAAAGGGGAAAAGATTTATTTTCCTCATGGTTTTAGAGGTGCACTTCTAGGCCTCATCAGTTTGGGCCAGTGGTAAGGCAAAGTATCATGGCGGAAAGGTTTGGTGGAGCAAAGCTGCTCACCGCACAGTAGCCAGGAAACAAGAAAGAACAAGGGGCCATAGACAAGGTATGCCCTTGAAAGGCACATCGCCACAATCCAGTTCCTCCAACCAGGCAATCTCCAAAGTCTCTACCACCTCCCAGTAGTGGGGGACTACTCCCACCAGCTGGGGACTACTCCTTCAGCACTTGAGCCTTGAAATCTGTTCCAAATCCAGATCACAGGATGACAAACTGAGAAGACAGTGGGCAACTTAACAAGTGGTGTTAGAATACTGGACCATGCATTTTGGAACAAAATTGGAGTCCTGCCTTATGCTAGAAAGAAAAGTTAATTCTATACAGTATAAAAAGGCTAAGTGTTACCCCCACACAGAGTTAGAATAAACTGTAGGTGAATGTTTTTTATAAGTATGTAACAGGAAAGGCCAAAGACACAAAATCCACAGTTGTAGAGACTGATTTATTTATCTAAATAATCTTAAAGGCTTTGGTATGACAATATACCATAAAAAGTTAAGAGAACCAGATGCATGCCTGTACTCCCAGCTGCTAGGGAGGCTGAGGTGGGAAGGTTGCTAGTTTCAGATCAGCCTGGACAACTTAGGGAATACTGTCTCAAAATAAAAAAGTAAATAAAAGGGCTGGGAATACAGTTGAGGACTAGAGTGCTTTTCTTGGATATGGAAGCCCCTGAGTTTGATCCCCAGTACTGGAAATAAAAGTTTAAAAAGCAATAAACTAACTCACATATATTATAAATATCAAAGCCAAAGAATTAGTATTCAGAATATATAAAGAACTCCTATACAAATCTCTTATCTTTAGCCCTGTATTTACAACATCTTACTAACATTGGCATCTGGGTCTTTTATTATTAACTTCTCAAATTCCCAGACCCCATCTTGCTTCTCCTCCATCTTGCTTTTCTTCTTCATTTTCTAAACCTACTTTTCACAAAGTCTCTATTTAGCTCTGAATATTCTCACTGAGCTATCATCACTCCCAAGTTATAAATCTTAGCATTATCTTCAAGTGATATTTAAGCATGTAGTTGATAAGTCATGAAATCAGGTTAGCTCATCATAATGAGTTTTTTAAGTGAAATAAAATACATTGCACACATTGTAATTACCGTCTTATAAAATTTTTGTTTCACTTGCGTATATGTATGTGCCCACTGAGTCATGGCATAAAATGTATTTCTAGTTGTAGTCTTAGTTAAAAAATGAAAACCACTGTTTTTTCTCTTCCCCTGGATGCCAATTCTAGTCTGCTGCCAAGATGTCACTTGTGAAACTTACACCAGCCTCTGCTCCAATTCCACCTCTGTACTCTTAGCCACTGGCCTTTGCTTTCCTCCTTCCAGCTTCATTCTTCCTGTTGCCTGAGCTGTCAGCAGCTCAATTCCAGTCTCATAGTTACCCTTTTAAAAGGCTGGCCTTAAAATAAGAACCAGACTCCTTAGCTCATCATAAAACCCCTTTTCAGTCAAAAATTCCTGTCACACTTCTAGAGCTTGTTTTACTCGGGGCAAGCTGGATTTGCCTAAGATAATTTTGTCTGTTTTGTTTCAAATAATTTTAAATGTAAAGTTTTCTCTGCAATCTGTTTTTCCTTTCTTGTCAAATTTACCTGCCCTAGCAATACATCTATGTCAATACTTTTGTGTACCTGTGTTATATTTTTGTGTGCTTATCTGTGTCCCCTATGAAAGCATGAGGATTTGAGGCAGCACCTGTGTGTACTTTCCCTTTGTTTATATAATGCCTGAGGTTGGAATGCACTCAATGTTGACTGAATAATTTTATTAGGAAAAAAGTTTTTTTAGACCTCTCTACTAACAGAGTACCTGCCCTACAAATAGACAACTTGGAAGAGATTGATTGAAAGAGAATGCTGGCTACTGTGCTAGCTCAGGTTGCTGTACAAAGTACCATTGACTGAATGGCTTAAATTTATTTACTCATAGTTCTGGAGATAGGGTACAAATATGGTCAGGTTCTGCGGAGGCATCTCTTGCTATCTTACAGATGGTTACAGTCTGTGTCCTTACATGAGCAGTGGGAAAGGAGCTCTCTGTGTCTCTTATAAGGGCACTAATACCATCCTGAGGGTCCTGCTCTCATCAAATCTAATTACTTCGAAATCCTCCATTGCCAAGTAACATCCACGGTGGGGAGCACAATTTAGTTTGTAGCAACTACCATAGCAGGTGTTTGTCATGCATAATGTAAAACGTATTCCTGCATTGGGAAAATCTTGGACCAGCTCGTGTCTAAGATCTTTTTGTGTTCAGATTCTGAAATGTTTCTGTTAATATTTTATTTTTTATCAGATCTATCTTCTAATTCTAAGAAATCTTCCAGTGGTTGTAATGAAGTCAAACCAATTTATCCCGATGATGAATGGGATTCCTTGGCGCTAGAACAAGGAGCTAATGACAGAGAAATCAGTAATAATAACACAAGTTCATTGGTGTCATCTTTTTCAGAAGATCATGACCCTAGTATACAGAGTGCTCACTGTCAGTCGAGTGAGTTGGAAGACAGTATTGGCTGTGCTTTTTTGAATAAAACATACTGTATATATTATTCAGAGTCACAGCTGAAGAATGAAAACACAACTAATTTAAGTTCAGAATTAGATCCTGAAATGGAAAAAAGTGAGGAAGTATTTTTTGATATTTTGGAACCTCAAGATAATAGGACTATTGCCTTGGAAAGAATTTTTAAGATTTCAGATGCTGACCCCGAAGAAACTGCTGAAGAAATGCAGAAGTATGATATAGATGAAGACTCACAGCAAGAATATCACAGTGCAGAAGAACAAGAATATATAAGCAACAGTTTACCTTTTGTCCAAGCAAAAACGTTAAGTACATCTAATCTGGAAGTTGCTGAACTAAGAAATTCAGGTTGTGAAGTTAAATGTGCTAGCAATCTAGAAGACAATCACATTAAATTGGAGACTAGTTCTGTTATCTCTTCAGATTCACTTAATGTTTTTGCACAAGAATATGCACCCTGTATCTCTAAATTTCAGAATTGTGATCTGTTAAAAGACTATTACGAGCCAAAGCATGAAAAGTGTAAGGAACAAGAGACTAGTTCAGTGTATCCCATAGTATTTGATGACATTGTACAGAAAAGTAATTCTCTTGAAAATGAATCTCAGTCTAAAAATGATTTCTTGAACCCTCAAAAAACTGAAATATATACTGAAAAAATGAAATCTGAGATTTTTGAAAGTAAAGATTTTTGTGGAAATGTGATTGTCAAGAACAGAATCTCACAGCACCTTCAAAATTCTAGCACGTTGCCCCAGGACAAAACTTTAGAGACACTACAGCAATCTTGTAAGAATTGTCAAACTTCCTGGTCCTCTATTTTTGATGACTCTGTCATCTCTGCATGTGGATGTTCACATTATAAAAGCCTACAAAGCACGCCCAACCCAGCCTCAAGTTTTTCCGCTGCACCACCAAAGATTGCTGTAAGAAACGATCAGGTGCTCAAAGAAGATTGCTCCCTAAAAGCTGTAGATGGCAAAAATGTGAATAAAACATACTCTGAGGGTGAGAAAAGAACATGCCCTACATCAGTGAGAGATGCGGCAGGTTGTACAATCACAGTTCATCAGACAGTGGATGTTAGCACGGATTTTAGAGCTTGTTTCACAACCACCAGAGCAACAAATGCAAGACCTTCTGTAGTATCTACATCAAGCAACACAGAGGTAACAATGATGAGCAGAAAGCGGCCCAGCAAATGGCAAAGTGAAAAACAAAGTGTGGCTTGTAACACGGATTGGTCATACGGTCAAGATGGTGTCGATATACCAGTGGGTGTAACAAAAGGAGCAGGAAAATCTCTCTCAGTTGACAGTAAAAAACCCGATGGAAATTTCCAAAATAAGGTAAAATCAATGTGACCAATAATGAAATTTTATTTTACTTCATAAAATTACTTTAGGCTGGATGTGATGGTACATGCCTGTAATCTGAGTGCTTGGAAGGAGGCAGGAAGATCACCTCAAGTTCACTGGATGGCTTCTCTGGACTACATAGTGAGTTCAAGGCCAGCCTGAACTGTATAGCAAGACACTATCTCCAAAAAAATTATTTTACTTTATAAAGTACATATTAATGTATTTGGTTGATTGTATTGAAGCCCTGGAAAGAAAACTCAGGATAAGGAAAAGGAGGATAGATTGCCACCAACTCTGTCTTGTGGCAGCTACTGCCACAAAGTCCTTCTAAAATTTAGTTTTACACTTTATTAGTTTGAAACTCCTTGTATTATGGGTGAGGGCTATAGCTCAGTGGTAGAGTGCTTGCCTAGCATGTGTTAAGACCTGGGTTTGATCCCTAGCAATGTAAAAAAAAAAGAATAATTCAACATTTATTGCTTGTTGTAAATTAATGAGTTAATTTTAAATTGTTTTTAGGATTCCCCGGAATTTAAAACATGCGATAACACAGACTTACAGAAACATCCTGAGAGGTAGGTAGGTTGATGTATAAGCTTGCAGATGTATGTGCAAAAAAACCTCTATAGTATTTGTTTTGTGTGTAATATATTTAACCATACATATTATAGCTAAAAGGAACATTAAGAAATTATGTGATTCAGTGATTTTCTTTACAATGAGTATTAAAACAGTATAGAATGTTAGAGCTCTTTACTTGTAGGATTGTAGTCTCAATAATTCCTTCAGTTATTCATGGGATCTTAAATTTATTTTTTCAAACAAAATCTGTACTAATTTAATTTTCTGTGTTCTTTCTTTTGATTCCCTTATAGACCAAAACAAAATAGCACTTTAAGAAAAAGTTTTATGCTTGAAGTATAGCGACATTCACTGAAGCATTTTAATTTTAACTTTAATTCAGTGTATCATTTACTTTGTATTTCTTACTTAGAGTACCATAGAGAATCAAGAAGTGGAAGGGGAGAGGAACTGGGAAGTATCTAAGGAGCCAAAGTAATTTCCATGCTCTGCAGTCATTTATCTTTTCCTTCATTCATTCTTTATTCTCCAAGTATTGATTTATTTATTTTGAAAAATATATATTTTTAGTCTTGTTCTTTTCTTTTGCAATGCTGGAAAAGCTCAGGTCCTCCCTTACGCTAGGCAAATCCTGTACTCTACTGAGCTATAGCTCTCTCCTAGCTTGTAATGTTTAATCTAGTATCCCAACTATAAACTTAAATAGAAGAGTTGGTTTTCAGAACAGCTGGAGGTGGCACCAGTAACAATGACGAACTTCTAAAAACCATTAACACTCAAAAACAGAGTCTTTGGGGCTTTTGGGCATAGTACCACAACAAAATATTTGCTTATATTACTCACCCTAAACTGCTAAGAAATATGAATTATCAATTTTCTATTGAAGGTAATACATTTAAGAACAATTTTAACCTGGAATGTTCATAACTTAAAAAAGAATCACAGTCAAACTTTGATTTAGGTTGAAAAACATGTGTTCATTCCAGATGGATAAAGTCATTCTCTTAAATCAGAATTCTTTTGTTAAAAAAAAGTCTGATTCATGAATTATGTACTTTGTTGGCTCACAGAAAGAACTTTTAGCTCTGACTCGTAATGTGCTTGTTTTCTGAAGCTGTTATGTAGCACTACAGCCTCTCCATCTGTAGTAAGAATTGATTTAACCTCAAATGTGAGAAACTTAAAATCTGTTTGTGGAACATAGCATTACAGTACAGAAATGTTTGGAATCTTACCTATTCCTATCTATTATTTTTTAAGGGAGCTTCAATTTTCTGAAGAGATGGTGAAGGATTTGCCATCAAAGTGCTGTAAAAAAATAATGCAGAGAGCTATAGAAGCAGAGATGCACCTTTTAAATGTTCACTATCAGATGTGCCATCGCCACTGTTGTGATATTTACAAACTTGTCATGGAAAGTAAAGGATTAAACAGGTGTTTGTAAACTCTAACTCTGTATTTTCTTATAGACGTATTACTAGTTTATTCTGGGAATTTTATTTTTTGAGATAGGCAAGGTCTTGCTATCTAATTCAGATTGGCCTCAAACTCATGGCAGTCTTTTGCCTCAGTCTTCTGAGTGCTGGATTACAGGCATGCCTTACCGCATCCGGCTTTAATTTTTATTTTAAAGGGCAGAATGAGGAGTGGTTGTAATTGGGGTTGTTAACTATGTTAAGAGTAATGGACTTTAAAAAGTACTGTCATGAATAGGCAATAATGCAATGGTTGGAACAGTGAATCTGGTGAATAGATAAATTTGATGTCTCTTTAGAAGTTCAGTTAAGGATGAAGTTGGGTTTTTCATGATCTTCTACCATGTTTTCTCTAGATTATATATCAATAGTTGCTTGTACTGCCCCTATAAGAATACTCTACTGTAGTCCCTTTTATTTTACGCAACATTAAATGAAAATTTAAAGGTCTGGTAGAGTTAGAACTAACTGTATAATATATCGGTGTTTAAATTGATGACTTGGGCCTTAATAATCTAGTTTTGTGAACTTTGAACAGGAATTTACCAAGTAATTCTGCTAAGAAGGAATTAGGATCAGCACTGCTCTCTGTTTTGGGAGACTTAAAAGTTAGATACATGAATCTAAAAGAAAAAATACACAAGGGCATACCATTGGAAGAGCTGCCACCACTGTCAGTAGAATCAAAATTATTAACTACCTTCTCTACTTTTGTTTCCAGGGTACGTACGTTTTATTTATTTATTATATTAGTACATATTTATAGTGTATAATTACATTAATTGTGGGGAGTTTGTACACATATAACACATCTTAATTCATTTTTCATACCCTACATATATGTTTTAAGAGTAAAAATTGTATTTCATTTAGACAGAAAACACTTTAAATATTTTTTCTTTCCTTTTTCCTATTTACAGCTAATGAAAGAAGAATCACATGCGTAAGTTATAATGTCATCTAAGTTAGAATTTATTTCATATTAAAAATTGCCTAATTCAGTTAACTTTAAATTTTGTTTTGGTTCCTGTTTAGAAAATTGATAAATCCTTTAAAGAAATGTCTGTCTTTAGCTTTTCAGGAGCAGATTCTGAAGTAGGTAATCAAACTGCATCTGATGGTGACGTTTCTTCAAGCCTAAAGAAGGCACACTCTCAAGTGAGATTCAATATAAAACTTTAATTTTATGGCCTAAGTAAACTGTAACTTTCAGAAACCCTAAAACACATCCTTTCATTTTTACTGGCTTACTTTGTATACTCCCATTTGAGGGATATAACTGATTAAAAGAAACTAATGGTCTGTTTAAGTCCATTCCTTAGATATCAGCAATACTATATATTGTTGATCGATGTCAACAATACTATATATGGTCACTAGGGTGACTGTATAATTTGTCATCAAACCTGGAGACTTTGAGAGTAAAAACAAGTAATGTTAGTAATTGACCCTAACAGTCGGTATAAACCTGGAGTATCCAAAGAAAACGATGGAACTTTGCTGCCATACTGAGCCAGTGTAGTTAAAACTAGTATCTTATACCTTCATCCCATGAAATGAGAGTAAAACAGTATTCCATTCATTTTTTTTAAAGTAGAGTTTTAATTTCTTCATTAAATGTCTTAGATTTTCTTAATAGCTCTTGTTACCCCAAGGAAATTGTCAGATAACAGTCAAGAAAGATGGTTTAATTGATAATAAGAACATTTCAGATTGTGAAATAATATAGTAACATAAGTTATATTCCATTTTTAAGTGAGGAAGCCATAAGATGGGAAATCTGAAGTCCCTTTTAATGCTGATCTTTCATTGTTTGAATAATTTTACTTATTTTTTATAAGCTGAGCATCAAACCCAGAATCTTGTACATGCTAGGCAAGCATTACACAACTGAGCTATACTCCCAGCTTGTAGAGTAATCTATTTAGTTACTTAGGTAGGTGCTTGTTTATTGATTGATTGATTTTGCAATATAGTACTAGGGAATGAACCCAGAACCTAAGCTACTGGGGATGAATTTACAATCCTCCCAGAGCTGGAATCACAGGTGTGTGCCACCATGACTGTCCCTACAGTGATCTTAAATAATACTCTAAAATGAATTTCTAAGCCAGAAGTAAATACTTAGTGAAGATGTATTCCTTTCTACTAAGAGAAATGATTCAAAGTAAATTGCTTTATCAAATTATTGTGTTGTTAAACACTTTTTTTTTTTTTTTTTAGAAAAAGGAAATCTTGGGGCTTGAAGGTAGAGCTCAGTGTTAAAATTCTTGCATGGCCCAAGTGAGGCCCTAGGTTTGTTTCCAGGATTAGAAAATGTAAACAATAAATCTCAGTTCTCTACAAGGACTTAACAGACTCAAAACTAGATTTTTATGTACTTAAAGGTCTTAAATAGCTTGCTTAACAACTTGCTTAATAGTATTTATTATGGAGCGGTTTCCCTATTGTAATGACAGCAGTAATGTCCTTGTTTAAGGACAACAATAAAGTATTTTTAAAAGTATGAGATCTGGAATTTGGCAAATGTCAGAATCAGAAAAGTCAATCAGAAAAGATCTTCTCCATGACACACCACAGTCAAAATCCCAGAAGTCCAACATGAGAACAGAATTTTAAAAGTGGTTGGAGAAAAGAACCAAATCACTTATATGGGTAAACCTGTTAGAATTACAGCAAACTTCTCAGCATAAACCTTAAAGGCCAGGAGAGGCTGAATTGTTTTAAGATCTAAAAAAAAAAAAAAAAAACAGCTTCTAACCTAGACTGATCTACCCTACAAAACTGCCTTTCAAAATTGATGGAGAAATAAGGTCTTTCTATGATAAAGAGCACCTTAAGCAATTCATGACCAAACCAGCACTCCAGCACCTTTCAAGGATATCCTAGAATGAAACAAGCCAAGAATACCAAAAAGTGGTATGACTACATCAATAGTGAGCAGTTAAGCAAAAAGAAAAAAAAATCAGCGACAGGAAAATAATGCAATGATAGGAACAAGTCAGAACTTCTCAGTAATAACTCTATGTGAATGGTTCCAACTCCCCAACAAAAGACTGATTGGCTGCCTGGATCAAAAACCAAAATCCAGTGGTATACCATATATAAGAAACAAATTTAATTCCAAGAAGAAATTCATAGACTAGAAATTAAAGGTTGGAAAAAATATTCCATGCACCGGGAACCTGAAAATGAGCAGAAATAGCTATCCAGTTTTTAGAAAAAGTAGACTTCAAGCCAAAACTAAGCACAAGAGGCAAAGAAGGGGCTGGGGATTTAGCTCAGCGGCACAGCACCTGCCTGGCAGGTGCAAGGTCGTGAGTTCGATTCCTGGTACCGGGAAAAGAAAAAGACAAATAAGAGGCAAAGAAGACCACTGTATATTGACTAAGGGAACAATTCAATAGGAAGAAGTAACAATTACAAATATATCTGCACTGAACACTGGCATACCCAACTTTATAAAACAAACGCTACTGGAGATAAAGATCAGCACAGTTATAACACAGGACCCAAATACCCTATGACAAATTGTCAAATAGACCAAAAAAAAAAATCAAATATCATAGTTCAGGAGTTGGGGATATAGCTCAGGGGCATAAGCTCCTGCCTGGCAAGTGCAGGGTCTTGAGTTCAATTTCCGGTACCCCTGCCTCCCCCAGAGAAGAAATACCATAGTTGAACTACACATTTGAACAAATGGAAATAATCTACAGTGTTTTACCACACAACACAATTCACATTCTTATCAGCAGCATATAGACCACATATTTGCCCATAAACATAAACATATTTGCCCAAAACAAAGAACTGAAGCCAGGCACAGTGGCACACATTCTTAATCCCAGAACTCATGAAGCTAAGGCAGGAGGCTTACTGAGAGTTTATGGCCATCCCAAACTACATATTGAATTCAACACCTGCCTCAACTACATAACCAGGTATTGTCTCAAACAAAAGAATTGAAATTATTCCATGTATATTATCAGATCATGGTCCAGTGAGACTAGAAATTGATAGCAAAATTATAAAAGTTATTCAAACATGGAAATTAAGTAGTACATTTATGAACAATCAATGACTCACAGAAGAAATCAAGAATTTAGACAGTTCCTAGAGTCAAACAATAATGACAGCACAACATGCCAGAAACTATGGCACAAAGCACTCCTAAGAGGAAAGTTTACAGCTGTGAATGGCCAAATTAGAAGAAAAAAAAAGTGAGTTTCAGTAGCCTAATGATGCACGTCAAAATCGTAGAAGAACAAGAACAAGCCCAAGTAAAAACAACTAAGGAAGTTATAAAAATCACAGCGGAAATTAATGAAATTGAGACCAAAAAAATAGAATAAAAATGTGATTCATTGAAAGAATGAACAGTAAAAAAACTCTTTACACATCTTACCAAAAGTGAAAGCAAAGGCCCTATCAAAACAGTTGGGAAAATTAAAAAAAGCAGTTAGAATCAGAATCACAACAGACACTATTGTAGTCTAAAAGATTATTATGAACTACTTTGAAAATCAGTTAAATAAACTGAATCCAAAAGAAATGGGTAGATTGCTAGATATATATGAATTAGAAAAAGTGAAGCAAGAAAATATAAAAATGCTAAATAATCCACTTACAATAGGCAATGAAATTAAAGTAATAAATACCAATCAGTTAAAAATCCAGGACCTGAGGGATTCACCTTGGAATTCTACAGGTACTTCAGGGAAGATCTAACACCATTACTTCTCAAACTGTAATGAATTCTAAAGGGAAGGAGTACTGCCAAATTCATTCCTGGAAGCTAGGGTTACCCTGAATCCAAAACAAGATAAGGACTCAACACAAAAAAGAAAATTACCAGACATTCTCTTTATTTTATTTTATTTTTAAATTTTACTTTAATTTTACTGTCTTTTTGAGACAGGCTTTCATTATGCACTTCAGGCTGGCCTCGAACTTGCAACAATCCTCCAGCCTCAGCCTCCCGATTGCTAGGATTACAGGCATGCACTACCATGCCCAGCAGGACATTCTCTCTAATAAACTAAAAGATGGAAAGATCCTTAACAAGATACTGGAAAATAAAATGCTACAAATCATTAAAAAGATTATAAATCATGACAAAATAGGCTTCATCCCAGGGATGCAAGGATGGTCAATATATATAAATCTGTAAATGGAATATATCATAAAATGTAAACAAGGACAAAAATCATGATCATTTCAATAATGCAGAAAAAGCCTCTGACAAAATCCAACATCTCATCATGGTAAAAACCCTGAAGAAAGTAGGTGTAGGAGTACCTTATCTCAATCTAATAAAAACCATTTATTATAAACTTACTGTGAATATATTAAGTGGGTTAGAACTGAAAGCTTTTCCTTAAAATCAGGAACAAGACAAAGACATCCCCTATCACTACTCTTGTTCAATATAGTACTTAAAACATTGGCCATAGTAGTTGGGCAAGAGAAAGAAATAAAAGGGATACATAAAGAAAAGGAAGCAGTCAAGTTGCCTATATTCACAGATAACATGATCTTTTACTTAGAGAAGATCTAAAAGACTCCCAGAACTAATAGATAGATACAGCAAGGTAGCAGTATACAAAATAACACAAAAAAGTCAATAGCATTCCTGTACACCAAAAATGAACCAAAAAAAAATTAGGAAAACAATACCATTCAAAATAGCTTCAAGAAAAATTAAGTACTTGAGATTAAGAACCAAGGAAATGAAAGACCTCTATAGCAAAAACTACAGTACTCTGAAAAAGATTAAAAATACATATTAGAAAATGGTGTGATGTACACTGTTCTAGATAGGCAGAATCAATAGTTAAAATGGCCGTATATTCAAAACTGATGTTTTAGTGCAATCCCAATCAAAGTACTAACAGCATTCCTCACAGAACTAGAGAAATCAGTCCTAAAATTCATATGGTACTAGAGAAAACCCAGAATAGAAAATGCAATCCTGAGCAACAGGAGCAAAGCAGGAGGCATCATAATCCCCATATTTAAGTTATACAGTATTGTGTGTATGTAGGGGTAACAACAACAAGGTACTGGCACAGATACAGACATGTGGATTAATAGAGCAGAACAACATGGTGAAACAACCCAGTACACAGTCATCTGATCTCGGACAGAGGAACCAGAAG